CCAACCTGTCCGCTCCCTCCGCTCAGCAAGCACGGACCTGCTTCATGTCCACCGCATTGCCCGCCACACCCCTCCCCTCCCCTACCTCCACTCCTCCTTATCCCAACCACCAGCTTGGGTGAGGATTCCTGACTGTCTAGTGTCTTCGGAAGTCCTCCTAATGTGAAAGGCACTATACAAATGTGATTTGTTGTTGCAGAGGTGGAGGGCAAGGAAGGTGGGGGTAGGAGAGTGACCGAAGGCACAATTGGGTCTTAAGATGGGCCTTGAAGGAGGCAAGGGAGGGGGAGAGGAGAAGAGACTGTGGGATGGATCCAAAGGGTGGGGCAGAGACGCTGAAAGGCCCGCCCACCGATGGTGGGGAGGGCCGGGTGGGGAACATGGAGCAGGCCGGAGCCAACTGAGCGAAGGGAGTGGTCAGGTATGAATCACACTGTTCCAGCTCACTGCTTTCAGTTTCCACATCATGTGCAAGGTCTGCCCTTATCATCCCAGAGAACAGAGGTCACCCCAATCTAACTGATCCTCTGTTTTTTGTTCCCCACATTCCTTTTATGGAGGAAAGGTAATCTGGAGATGTGTAACTCTCCTTTGGCATCGCAGGAGCCAGTGAGCCTGACAGCTCGTGGGAGTAAATTTTTTGCGCAATTTATTAACGAATTTCTTAATTAACACCAGCTCGCGGGAATTAGAGTTCTGTGCATTTTCACTAAAAGTTAGGAATAATAAAAATAATCTTTGCTTCAGATTCTCCTGTTTAACCTAATCCAGTAGGTGTAAAGTACAAGCTCATAGAATCATAGAATTATACAGCATAGAAGGAGGCCATTTGGCCCATCTTTGATGTTTGATTTAAAGGCTGTGCCGGTTCTTTGAAAAGAGCTTCCAAATCAACCCAACTCCCCCGCTCTCTCCCCATAGCCCTGATCAACCCCACTCCTCCGCGCTCTCCCCATAGCCCTGATCAACCGCACTCCCTACTCTCTCCCCATAGCCCTGATCAACCCCACTCCCCACTCTCTCCCACAGCCCTGATCAACCCCACTCCCCGCTTTCTCCCCATAGCCCTGATCAACCCCACTCCCCCGCTCTCTCCCAATAGGCCTAATCAACCGCACTCCCCCGCGCTCTCCCCATAGCCCTGATCAACCCCACTCCCCCACTCTCCCCCCGTAGCCCTGATCAACCCCACTCCCCCGCTTTCTCCCGCAGCCCTGATCAACCCCACTCCCCCGCTTTCTCCCCATAGCCCTGATCAACCCCACTCCCCCACTCTCTCCCCATAGCTCTGCAAACTTATCCTCCCCAAATAAGTATCTGTTTCTCTCTTAAAACTTGTAATCAAATCGGCTTCCACCAGACTTTCAGGCAATACATTCCGGATCCCAACAACTCGCTGTGTGAACACATTGCTCCTCACCTCCCCTCTGTTTCTTTTCACAGCTATTTTAAATTGGTTAAATTGATATAAGTGGCAAGGCTTCAATGCCTTGTGGGTAACTGCTGCGGTTGAACCAGCTAACATTACAACGTGCCATTTGCTAATTCTCTGTTTTTTGTTAAACTCCCTGCTGTTTGTCCAGCTCTGACACCCTTCCCTGTTAAAGGTGTTTGCAAAGGCTATTTGTAGTGATTTATAGACTCTCAACTGATCGTGTGCACATTCTGCTTCGCTTCTTACCCAGCTCCTGCTTTTATACAGTGACTAGGCCATTCCAGAGCCTGGAATATAATGTTTCTTGTACATTTATAATCTTCCTCTTTCTTTTGCTTTACTTGCATTAAACCACTATGCCATTCACCTGGTGAAATAAACGCTGGCAGTTATGTTTTTTGGAGGTTTTCTCAGTTAAAGGAGTATAAATAATAATAATAATCCTTGCATTTTGATATAGCGCCTTGTCATGTTGTTGACACATCTACTGTAAAGTGAATTGACTGTAATTTTTGTGGGTGAAATGCGGCAGCCACGAAGTGAGTGACTGGTTATATCTGCATTCCAGTCTCCCACAAGCAGTCATGGATTGAGTGACCAATTTTTTAAAATAATTTTTTAAAGGAATTATTACCCCCTGGAAAGCGACCCATCAATCGACTAACAACTGTTTTCTTACTTACTGCTAGGTAAACAGAGGCGTGTGGAGTAAGGAAACTTATCTGAAGTATTGGCTCGCCTTGGAATCAAACCTGAGCCGAGCGCACTAACCACTGAGCTTCGGAAACTCTTTTCATGATTGGAATATTAACCAGGAAATTCCAGTCTTTGACTGTGAGACCATTTTTCTGAGCTGGAGATGGTGAAGTTTCAAGCCTGTAATAACAATAATGATTCATTATTATCATTTATTTAATAATGACGCATCATTGTTCATATCAGAAGGAAGTCTCAAAGGACTTCATGGGATGTTGCTGTAAAATGTAGTGACTGTGTATTTTGCAGATGGACCCAGCATTCAATTTGCACTTAGTGAGACATCCTGCAAACAGCCACAAAGTGAGTGACTGGTTATATCTGCATTCCAGCACCACAATAACAAGCCATTGCTAACTATTTAGTCATTTCAAGGGGTAAAAAAAATAGAATTTAAAAATGAAAATTGTTAAAATAAACTGTCTCTCACTCAGCTTTTAAAAGAACTGGTTTCCATTTTAATATCTCATACAAAGGACGGCACCTCAGATAATGTAGCTCTCCCCTGCAACTGTACTGGAGCATCAGCTGTGAACGAACTGTTAGCCAAGTTCCTTGAATCTTACCTTCCTTCCAGCTCTGTCCATGCACCCCACCTACCCCACTCCCAACTCCCTCCTGAATTGAAGCTGGAATGTCAGAGCACTGGATGGATTTGTAAGGGTTTAAGTGATTAAAACGAAGTTCAGTTAAGTGCTGAAATGGTCACGTATGCTTGGCTCTTGAGCTTCAGGCCAGTGCCTGACACCGAAAGACACACATTTGACACAGTTGTTTTGAATCCGCTCCATGGAGGGCTGGTGGTATTGATCCCATGACAAAGGTAAATGCTGAGCTGGTAGTTTTTTGGATCTGTAGCTTTTTTAGCTCAACGTTTACTCAATCTTAACACTATTGTGTAAATCATGCTTGACTACTAGTGCTAACGCCATGTTGCACCATAGTTTCATTATGGGGTAATGTTTGCGGGGGGTAAACAATTGAAGCCTGAGTTGTGTATTTTAGTAGACAAGTGTGGCAGCCACATCTGCCAGTAAAAGTTCCATAAAGAGCCATATGGTTAAATGACCAATTATGCTCTGACAATGTGAGCTCAGAGTGCCCAATGTCAGGGCTTGAGTCTGACTCAGAGGCAAAAGACTGAGCAAAACTGGTTCAAAAATGATCGTTTGTTATAACCCGTACTTAGCAAGGTGTAGGAGTCTATGCACAGCTTGCTGGTGTGCATTCTTGTGTGCATTTGGTACGTGATAAGCAGAAGTTTAGTGCAGACGCAGATACATTCCATTGGGGTCTCCTTAGCTCAGAAAGAGAGTTCAGTTCTGCGGTCCACAACTGTTCTGTACTACTGTATCACCAGCCAATGATAACTAGACAAGGCCGCAAAACACAACCCGGAGTTCTGTTTGACGAAAGAAGGGCATATTTAAAGAAACTATCTCACGCGTAGAGATGGGAAGTGTGGCCAAGGAAATGGAAAGTCTAGAATTCTACAGATCAGGCAATCTATCAGGTAACTATAATAATAATAATTCTTGCATTTGATACCATGTCTTTGAGACATCTCAAAGCACCTCACAGGATATACTGAAAAGTGGAGTGTTTTGTTGGTAATTGGGATAAGGAAACACAGCTTCAATGGAGGAGCTGCATGAACAACAGCAGCAGTTTATTATTATTAATAATAATCCTTGCATTTCATACAAGCCTTCCCATGACATATAAAATTCAACCAAATTATAGTTTAATGTTAATGACAGACATCATTATTTCCACATTATTCCCAAACCGGAATTCTTTCCAGGTTTCAGTTACTTCCTTAGAAGTACAAGACATCCTAGAATCAACACCTTCACATCAGGAAACCCAACCAATTGAAGAACCGTTGTTTGATTGCGCTTCTAATTGTTCCAGCTTGTGCTCTAAGTTTACATCTCTTTGTTTTGGATCTGTCAACCATTGTCAATTCCTTTCATTATCTAATAGACTGCATGAAGCTCTGGTCACTGTGACATGGGACGTCCTCCTGACGTGAAAGGCGCTTTATAAATGGAATCTTGTTGTTGTTGTTGATGGTGGGTCTGTGGGGGCCCAGGAGCACAATGAAGGATGAGCTATTAGTAATTAGATTTCCAACCTTCAACAGGTCAACTTTGTAAGATTATATTTGTAATGTTTAATGTTTTTTAAGGCTTTTAATTAATCTTTATATATGTGTAGAATATAACCTTCCTATAATTCTTTAGTAAGGTTTGTTTGATTTAAGGACTAGCTTAGCAGGGGTGAGAAAGTAGCTTTGCTGGATGGATTGAGGTTAGCTTCTAATTACATTTCATATTTTCCTGGGAAGATGTTCACTCTTTTGAGATAATGAGCAATGGACAATGGACCTCAGGAAGAAAAGGCTGCAGCCTCAGATACCTACCTAGCTCAAGACTAAGAAACAAGCAGGCTGTGAAAGGCTGACTAGAAGTTGTCCATATATCTCTCTGCAAAGCAGCCTGCGATGGGTGGGGACTCTCTGTGCAAGGGAAGGCACAGTTAGAAACACTTAAAAGATGTAACTTTGAAATAGTTGTGTAGTGTCAGCGCACTTCCCAGTGGAATTGATATCACTTCTACTGTACCTATGGTCTGTTTTAAAAATAAGTTGTTTGCATTACTTAATAAACCTTGTATTATTACACCACCGATTTGGTCGTCTCCATCCGAATCTCTGGCGACTTCATGCTGTCAGACAAGACCTGATAACATCTTTCAGACTCTTCCCAGATCATTATTATTTCAGTAAGAATGAAATGCTGCACACTTTTTCTTTATAATTTATTATTGAAACAGAGGTGAGATTGTGTCAACAATACAGAGGGTTTTGGTGGGTTCCCGTCACGAGCCACTCTCCAGTCTCTTGTCCTGAAATCCTGAATGTTCAGGGTACTGGGCTTATTGATGAATGGGTGCCATTGGCCTTGGATGCTCGGGTTGTCCGTGTGGAAAGGTTTTCGGATGCGGATCACGTCCAGGCCTGACTGACTGGACAGCTTCCTGACCAGCTGCTTTATCTCCTCAACACTCTTCTTGTTCAGAGGTTCCTCTCTCACAGCGCCATTCACTGCAATCAGAGAGGGCATGAGAAAGATTAAATTTGATAGGTGAAATATAGATTTGTTTATATAGCGCCTTTCATGTCAGGAGGATGTTCCATGGTCTCAAAATCATAAAAATAATCCGTGCATTTGATACAGCACCTCATCACATTGTTGAGACGTCTTAAATTGCTTCACAGAATTTATCGTAAAGTGCATTGATAAAGGCCCCCAGACATTCGAAAACCACCACCTTCCAGTTTCCCTTCAAAAATTTTCTCCACCTCCATACTCCCCTCCTCAAGTCATGTCCATCCACTGTGTTGGGGCGACTTCCCCCTCCAGTGTTTGTGACCTGTAGCTTTGGATGCAGTTTTATAGCACCCACTGTTTGCTTCATAGCATCTGGGGAAGTAATTTGCTCCTGTGTTAAATGTATTCAGATTTATTCCATTACCACTTAACATGTTAATTGGACAAAATTTATATTTTAAAAATAATCAGTTCAGTGAAAATTTATGCATTTTTCTCATGCTTTTGAAGCGTTAAAAGTGTTTTTCTAAAAAATAAAAATTAGAGTAAGGTTACATGTTCCACTCTTACCCATTTTCTCCAGAAGGCACTGATTAACCCATTCCTTTGTGAGGGGAAGAGAGAAAGGGGGGTAGTGGGGAGAAATGGAGAGCATTTTGATCATGAAGGTTGGCCACTTTGATACGAGGATAAATGGAGCTTTGGCATCACTTAGTGGCTAGAAGGTACATTGCACCCGTCAAAAGGTAACCAGAAAACATTCCCTTCTATTTGGTGGAAAATAATCCGATGAGATTTCTCATAATCTGTATGAGATTTCTCATCTTTTCTCATATCATATCGTATAACATAAAAGGGAACCCTAAGATATTTTATAAGCATATAAAGAATAAAAGGTTAGTCAAAGGTAGAGTGGGTCCAATTAGGGACAGAGAGGAAATCTTCCTGTGGAGGCTGACGTACTGAATGAGCACTTTGCATCTGTTTCGCAAAACAAGAGGATGCAGCCAATGCCAATATCGGAGGAGAGGGTAGAGAAATTGGATAAGAATAAACCGAAAGGAGGTACTAAAAATGTTGACAGTGCTCAAAGTAGATAAATCACCCGGTCCAGACGAGATTCATCCTAGATTACTGAGGGAGGCAAGGGTGGAAATGGAAATCTCTGGCCACAATCTTTCAATCCTCCTTGGACACTGGAGTGGTGCCAGAGGACTGCAGGGTTGTAAATGTTACTCTCCATAAACCCGGGAACTACAGGCCAGCCAGCCTAACGTCAGTAGTGGGGATATATTTCTAGAGACTGTAATGCAGGACAAAATAAATTTTCACTTAGAAAAATATGGGTTAATAAAGGACAGTCAGTTTTTCTGACTGGAGGGGAGTTGCAGTGGTGTTCCCCAGGGGTCAGTACCACTGCTCTTTTTGATCTATATAAATGACCTGGACTTGGGTATAGGGAGTAGAGTTTTCAAGTTTGCAGATGATACTACACTGGGAAAACTAGTAAACAGTGAGGAGGATAGTAGCAGACTGCAAATGGACGTAGAAAGACTGGTAACACGGGCAGACACGGGGCAGATGAAGTTTAATGTAGAGAATTGCAAAGTGATGCATTTTGTGAGGAAGAATGAGGAGAGGCAATAAAAGCTGATGGTACAATCTTAAAGGGGGTGAAGGGACAGAGAGACCTGGAGAGGCATTGGAGAGGGTGCAAAGGAGATTGACCAGGATGGTACCAGGAATGAGGGGCTTCAGTTATCAGGAGAGGCTCGAGAAGCGAGGATTATTCTCCTTGGAGCAGAGTAAGTTAAGGTGAGACAAAATAGACGTTTTCAAAATTATAAAGTGACTCGATAGGGTGAACAAGGAGAAATTATTCCCACTGGCGGGTGGGTTCGGTAACCCCAGGACACCGATTTAAAATAGCTGTTAAAAGAAACAGAGGGGAGGTGAGGAGAAATATTTTCACAACGAGTTGTTGGGATCTGGAATGCATTGCCTGGTGGAAGCCGATTCGATAACAATTTTTAAGAGAGTAGATAATTATTTGGGGAGGACAAGTTTGCAGGGCGATGGGGAGAGAGCGGGGAGTGGGGATGATTTGGAAGCTCTTTTCAAAAAAGTTGGCACAGAATCGATGGGCCGAATGGCCTCCTTCTCTGCTGTACAATTCTATGATTCCGGCAGGGCTAAATGTTGGGCAAGTTTCCTCACTCTACACGCCTGTTTACCCAGCAATAAGTAAGAACCTGCGTATTAGTCGACTGTCAGATCGCTTTTCCGGTGATAATAATCCCTTCAAAAACAACATATAACAATAATAATCCTTGCATTTGATAATGCGCCCTATCACTTCTTTGAGACGTCTCAAAGCGCTTCACAGAATATACTGCAAAGTGAATGTATATTTTGTCGGTGAAACAAGAAGCCAATTGCGTACAGCAGTGTCCCAAAAACAGTCATGGAATGTGTGATCAGATCAGTTGTGGTATCCCTCAGATCCTTTATGTTCTCTTATATCAATCCTGTATAGCAGTTGTTGAGACGTTTCAAAGCACTTCACAAGATACACTGTTAAGTGAATTGACTGTATATTTTGTGGGCGAAATGCGGCAACCAATTGCGCACAGCAGCGTCCCACAAACAGTCATTGTTTGATGTGACCAATTTATTATTTTAATTTGAAAGAATTATATATTCACGTACATTCTGTGAAGCACTTTGAGACGTCTAGAAGATGTGATAAGGTGCTGTAAGGATTGCTATTATCAATACAGTTGGGGAAACTGCCCTGTTTCTGTCCTATCCAAATTTCCTCCAGCACCTTTAGACATCTACCCCACGTGAAAGGCGCTATACAAATGTAATTTGTTGTTGTTTTTCTTAGACGTGACCTCCAGCTAGACTCACCACCACCACAACAACTTGCAACTATATAACGCCCTCCTCACGTGCTCTACTCAGATCACTTAACAGTGGTGGAGCCTGACTCCGAGCCGGACGGTGGGGGGCGAGGGGTGGTCGTAAGCAAAGTTGAAGAGGAGGTTTTCAGGTGGAACTTGAAAAAGGGAAGAGAGGGGCAAGGCGGAGGGATTGAGGGAGTGTGTTTCCGTGACTTTTCGGAGCGCAGTGGCTGAAAGCACGACCTCCGATGGTGAGGCGGAGGGTGCGAGGGACAAGCAGGAACCGGTGCCAGTCAAGCGGAGGCACCGGGTGGTGGTTGGGGAGTGAGGGGGTCGGAGATGTAGGGAGGTGCCAGGGAGTAAAGGGATTTGAACACAAGTGTGAGGATCTTGATGTCGATCCTTCTCTTCCTATTTTCAGGTCTCTGCTGAAGACCTTTCTCTTCGACCGCGCCTTTGGTCACCCTTCTCCCCACCCCCTGGTTCCTCCCCCTCCCCCGGCTCCTCCCCCTCTCCTTGGGTTCTCCCCCTCCTCCTGGCTTCTCCCCTTCCCCCTGGCTCGGCCCCGGGATCCGTTACTGTGAAGCGCTCTGAGACGCCGTCTGGCGTGGAGAGCGCTATATAAATCCAGGTTGTTGTTGCTGTTATCGATGCATTCGGTGATAGGAGCCAGTGGAGCCTGGGGCAGAACTAATGAGATATGGGGACGGAGTTTGGTCGGGGTAAATATGTGGGCGGCTGATCTTTTGAGTAGTGGAGCTGGGGAGACCAGCGAGGAGTGCGTTACTATAATCCAGGCAGGAGGTGACAAACGCATGCACGAGAGTTTTGGCTGCATTCGGGGTAAGGTACGGTTGGAGGCGGGCAATGTGGCGGAGGTGGAAGAAGGTGGTCCTGGTCAGGGACTGGATGTGGGGGAGGAAGGACAGTTGGGGGTCGAACCAGACACCTAGGTTACGCACTGGTTTGGTGAGTCTGAGGGAGAGCCCAAGAAGGTTGAGCAGTTCAGATCCACAGGAGTGAAGACATTGACGGGAGACAAGGAGTATGGCTTCCATCTTGTCTCCATTCAGCTGCAGGAAGTTTATCCAGGCCCTGATGTCTGTCATGGGCCCAGTCATCCGCATACATGTGGAAGATTACTCCGTGTCTGCAGATGACATTGCCCAGAGGGAGCATATAGATAAGGAAAAGAAGAGGGCCAAGGTGGAGCCCTGGGATACCCCACAGATGACTGGCCAGGGGTGGGAGAAGTAACCATTTGCCGAGATGAAATAGAGGTCCGGGGAAAGGTGTGACCGAAGTTGACCTGCAACAATGCTTTCCAGGACTTTGGAAAGGAAAGATAGGACGGTAGTGTGAGAGATTAGAGGGATCGAGGGTGGGTTTTTGAGGAGGGGTCTGCTGCTGCCTGCGATACTCACAGTATTCTGCAACTACTTTAGGGGTTCCGTCCTTCAGTGGGGTAACATATACCACAATGCTGGGATTCTGTTTGGCAAAATCCACCACTTCTTCCTCGATGTACTCTCTGATGGAACAAACGCAACGTTCACATTAAATATGCTGTGTGTGTAGGCTCAAGTGTTAGTTTGCCTCAGTCGTTAGGGCTGTTGTCTCCGAGTCTGAAGGTCAAGCCACAACCTCAACTCAATTTTAAATTATTATTATTATTATCATTAAATCTGACTCTATCTAAAACACAAATCTTAAGTCTTTTTTTTGCTTCCCCCAAAGTGACACCTGTTTCCCCTATTCCTGCCTGTGCTGCTGAGCAAAGCAATCGCCTCCCCCATTCCCCCCCCCACTTCTGTAGTTCTTTTTGGTCAATCAAGCACTTCTGCATGTTTCTCCCACATGGAGAAACCCATCACTCTGCTTAAGATCAGGGGCTCCTGCCTACCTCGTTCCAGAACCAAACCAAGCTGAGGTTTCCGGGCCTCCCACCCACATAGAAATCCCAGAGAGAGATTGTTGGAATGGAATGCACTCTCTCTCTCTCTTCCTGGAGGGACACATCCTTTTGTTTACCTAATTCCAGAGAGTATTAGGCGCAGGTCGGTAAGAGCCCAGAGCGTGCGTTGGGGTAACTGGTGGCGTCTCACCAGCTAAACCCACACAAATTGCCATTGATATCTCTGTCCAGCAAGCGTTCCCACTGCTTGTCCCGCTAACACCACCCTCCCCATTAGGGCTTTGGCTGCAGGGTGACCAGGAGCTGAGGGGGAGGATTCCCTGTCCCCAGGTCCTGCTGATGGGCCGGGCCGGGCCGGGCTGTGCTGCCATCAGCAGTGAGTGCCCTGGGACACTGCGGCCCCTCCCGGCTCAGAGACCGCACAGGCACAGGCACAGGGGGGGCTCTGTTCCCACATGGGGTACCCAGGGCCTGTCAGCAGGTCAGCTCCGCCTCCCCCCTCCCTCACCTGACGGCCCTGCTGCCGGGCCCGCGGTGGCTGAACACGAGGCTCAGCCTCTTGAGTTGACACAAGTAGCGGCCGAGGCCGTTGTGAAGGACAGAGCGAAGGAAGCGGCTCGGAGTCCCCCGCGAGGTCATGACTTCCGCCCGCGGGGCCGCACTTCCGGCCCATAAACTGCTCCGGGTTTGCGTCCGTCCCTCAAACCGGTCCGCGTGGCACTCAGTCCGTCAGCGGCGCGCGGCCCCGCGGCCGTCATGTCTGTGCGTTGCACCGCGCGCGGGAGAGGAGACCGCAAACCCGGAGCCATGGCCTGAGTGTCCGGTGGGTCTCGCGCTGCAGGTCACGGGGGGCGGGGCCGCGGGTGCGCTCCAGCGTTCCATTCCCGCCCATCGCTGCGCGCCGTCATTGCGGCCCGCGGGCCGCCAAAACATCAGCCGGGGCTGGGGGGCAGGGCCGGGGGGGGGGGGGCTGCGGGGCTGCGGGGCGGGGGGCTGCGGGCCGGGGGGGGCAGGGCCGGGGGGGGGGGGGCGGGGCGCGGGGGGGGCTGCGGGCTGCGGGCGGGGGCTGCGGGCGGGGGGCGGGCGGGGGTGGGGGGGCGGGGGCTGCGGGGCGGGGGCTGCGGGGCTGCGGGGCGGGGGGCTGCGGGGCGGGGGGCTGTGGGGCGGGGGGTTGTGGGGTTGCGCGGGGCTGCGAGGCGGGGGGCTGCGGGGTTGCGGGCGGGGGCTGCGGGGCGGGGGCTGCGGGGCGGGGGGCTGCGGGGCTGTGGGGCGGGGGCTGCGGGCTGTGGGGCGGGGGGCTGCGGGGCGGGGGCTGCGGGGCGGGGGGCTGCGGGGCTGTGGGGCGGGGGGCTGCGGGGCGGGGGGCTGCGGGGCTGCGGGGCGGGGGGCTGCGGGGCTGTGGGGCGGGGGGCTGCGGGGCTGCGGGGCGGGGGCTGCGGGGCTGGGGGCTGCGGGGCTGCGGGGCTGGGGGGGGGGCTGCGGGGCTGTGGGGCGGGGGCTGCGGGGCTGTGGGGCGGGGGCTGCGGGGCTGCGGGGTTGCGGGGCGGGGGGCTGCGGGGCTGTGGGGCGGGGGCTGCGGGGCAGCGGGGCTGCGGGGCAGCGGGGCTGCGGGGTTGCGGGGCTGCGGGGCGGGGGGCTGCGGGCTGCGGGGCGGGGGGCTGCGGGGCTGCGGGGTTGCGGGGCTGCGGGGCTGCGGGGCGGGGGGCTGCGGGGCGGGGGGCGGGAATGGGAATCACAGTGGGATCTCAGATGTTTATTTTAATAATAATCCTTGCGTTTGATACTGTGTCATTTAAGTCGCATGAAGTCTCCCGGACGTTACTGTAAAGTGTAGTGACTGTTTAACTACTTTGAGATGATATGAAAGCGCAGCGTAAATGTAAATGTATTGTGTTTTGTAGGTTTTAATGCTTGCCATTAATATTAAGGGAGTTTCTCCCAATATCCTGGCCGACAACACCCTCCCTCCACAAATAAATGTCACTCAATCCATGACTGTTTGTGGGACGCTGTTATGTGCAATTCGCTGCTGCATTTTTCCCATAAAATATATAGTCAATTCTCTACAGTATCCTGTGAAGCGCTTTCAGACATCTCTGTGATGTGATAAGGCGCGGTATCAAATACAACATTATTAATGTTGTCATTAATAACTAACTGTACCCGTTGCAGCTTCGCTTACAACCAAAAGATCCAATATGGAATGTAGATTGACACACAGACAGACATCAACAACAAAATTACATTTGTAAAGCACCTTTCATGTCATGAGGACGTCCCAAGGCACTGGACAGAGTTTCGGACCCGAGCTGAGGCTCACGGTCGGTGGAGGGTGGAGGTCAGGGAAAGCAGGATGATCGAAAGCACAGTTGGAGAGGAGGATCTTGAGATGGGTCTTGAAGTTGGCGAGGGAGGGTTGAGGAGGCCGGAGGGACTGCAGGATGGAGTTCCAGAGGGTGGGGGCAGAGTGGTGGAAGGCCCGCCCGCCAATAGTGGCGCGAGCAAGGCGGGGGACGTGAAGCAGGCCGGAGCCCACTGAGCGGAGGGAGCGAGCAAGATGGTAGGGTTTAGGAGGTGGCATAGTTATGGGGGAGCAAGGCCATGGAGGGCTTTGAAGGTGAGGACCGGGATGTTGAACTGTATCCTCTGTGTGATGGGAGTGGAGTCGGGTGAGGATGGGGCTGATCGGGTCACGGAGCCCGGTGCGGGAGAGGACACGGGCTGCAGAGTTAGTTCTGGATGATCTGCAGCCTGTGGAGGGAGGAGTTGGGGAGGCCAACAAGCAGTGAGTTTGCATAGTCGAGCCTCGGTATAATGAAAGCGTGTATGAATGTTTTGGTGGCCTGCGGGGTGAGACAGTGGCAGAACCGGGCGAGGTTGCGGAGGTGGGGAAGGCAGAGCGGGTCATGGCACAGATGAGGGGTAGAAAGGATAGTGGAGGGTCAAACAAGATGTCAAGGTTCTGGATTGGCTTAGTAACACATTGGTTTAGACATTATACTCAGCTGCGAGGACTCCTTTAATATATTTTCACTCACAATCTCTCAGTCTCTCTGTCTCTCGCCCAGCCTCCCCCCCCCCCCCCCCCCCCCTCACTCTCTCTCTCAGTGTTTTTCTCTCTCTCTCTCCCAGTCTCTCTCTCTCTCTCTCTCTCAGTCTCCCTCCCAGTCTCTCTCTCTCGGTCTCTCTCTGTCGCGCTCTCACTATCTCAGTCACTCTCAGTCTTTTTCTGCCTCTCCCTCCAAAACACAAAGTCACTGCACTTTATAATATATTCTCTCAGTCTCTCTCACTATCTCAGTCTCTCTTTCTGCCTGTCACACATGAGAGGACCCCAGCTACCGTGATAACTAGAAAAAAGTGCATACATTTAATGCAGAATATAGATGTAGCTCTCTGAATGATGTACTTTCCTCTGTCGCTACGTAGTTTCAGAATACGACGCATACCTCATATTTGAGGCTTAAAGCATTTTTTCAATATAGTTTATGAATGATAGATTCTACGATTCTATGATAGGAGATTCCCCCCACCCAAAAAATTGCCCATTTAAGACCTTTCCAATGAGGTGTAAATCATGTCTCTTATGTCAATTGTCGGATACACTGACAAATAGCAGACAGTCATTTTGTCTTTATTAGCATAGATAAACCCTGGTGATTTTTTTAAACCTTTCCTTTCTGCAGACGGGATGTTTGGCTTATTCCGGAATGCGGGCCGAGCGCTGCGTTGGACGTCCCACCTGCTGTACAGCGGGGACCCCTGGAGGGGAGGGCGGGAAAACCCCTTTCCCCTGGGGATGGGCAACCCACTGTCCAGGAATCCCTGCTCCACTACGAAGCCGAAGGGGAGTGGGAAGGGGGCAGTAGAGGTGCAGTTGATGCCTGTGACAGTGACGGAGATCAGGCAGTACCTGAAATCAAAGGGCATTCCCTTCAATGACGGCTACAGCTGCCTGCATACCCCCAGCCTGTTCGCAGGCAGGGTCTTCGAGGCAGCTCAGCCACCCCCCAAGGGATCCTTCCCCCTCTTCATCGACAAGACTACGGGGCAGTTTGTATGCAAGGAAACACAGCTGGAAGGGAGCTGGGAGGACTTTCAGGACTGTGTGGAGGTCCTACTGAGGGAAGGATGGGATAACTTAGGGCCTGATGTCCTGCTGAAGATTCCTGAGAGCGACTGGGAGTTGGAGGAGAGGGAGCTCCGAGCCCGGGAGGTGCGAGAGATCTGGAACAAAGCTGTGGGCTTCTCACACCTGGAGGAGGACGAGGCCCGGCTGGTCAAACGGATGTTCGGAATCTCCAAGATTTCCAACTCAACTCTGAGCAAGCTTGGCGTCAGGTGCTTCAGGGCCACCAAGAGCCTGGTCGTCCCGTGGTTCGACTTCAGAGGTGCGGGCATGAAGGGGTTAAAGGTGCTTACAGCTGAGCCTCATGGGGAGGGGGTTAGGTACACAGAGACCACTCTGCCAAAGCCCAGCAACTACCACAACTTGTTTGGGCTGCTGGAGGCCGTACGGAAGGACGGATCACTGGTGTTGACGGGCGCAGAGATGGACTGCTTGGCTGTGAGCCAGGGCACAGGCCTGGCATGCGTGGCACTGCCCAGGGGAACAAGCTGCTTGCCCCCCGCCCTCCTCCCTTATCTGGAGCAGTTCCGCAAGGTTGTCCTCTGGCTTGGTAGCGACCTCCGCTCCTGGGAAGCATCCAAGGCCTTCGCCAAGAAGCTGAACCTGAAACGTTGCTATCTGGTACGGCCGGGCTCAGGGCAGCCCAGCCCTCGCGAAGCACTCGACCGAGGCCTGAACCTGGTCAAGATCGTCAGGGGAGCTGTGGCTGCCAGCCACAAGTCTATTATCACCTTCCGGCAGCTACGGGAAGATGTGTTCGGGGAGATGGCCAACATGGAACAGCTGGCCGGCGTCCAATGGCAACGCTTCACTGGCCTCAACAGGCTCCTCAAGGGCCATCGGAAAGGGGAGCTCACCATCTTCACTGGTAATCAATCATCCCCAACCTGACCTTGAGATACCTAGATGTTAAGTCAGGGTAGCAAGGGTATGTAGCAAAGGCAGGTCAATGGAGTTGAGGTACAGCCATGATCTAATGGAATGCGGGGAACAGGTTCGAGTAGCTGAATGGTGCACTCCTGTTCCTATGGTTCCTATTATTAATACCTATAGCTTCGCTTGCAACCAAAGAATCCAGTATGGAATGTAGATTGACACACAGACAGACACACAGACAGATATTTTGTTTAGACATTATAATCAGCTGGTAGTACTCAGTGGGAAGACGCCTTTAATATATTTTCTCACTGTCTGTCTCTCAGTCTCTCCCTCAATCTCCCTCTTCCAGTCTCTTTCTGTGTGTGTGTGCCTCTCTCTCTCAGTCTCTCCCTTACTATCTCAGTCTCTTTCTCTCAGTCTCTCTCACTACCAGTCTTTCTCTGTCTCTCCCACAAAACCCACATTCACTACATTTTATAATATATTCTCTCTCACAGTCTATCTCTCTCCCAGTCTTGCTCTCTGGCTGTCTCAGTCTCGCTCACTATCTCAGTCTCTCTATCTATCTGTCCCACATGGGACCATGACATCCAGAAAAAAGTGCCATACATTCCGTTGCAGATTATAGAATATCTCTCTGAACAGTGTGTGCTTTCCTCTGTTGCTATGTAGTTGCAGAATACAAGGGGGGGGGAGGGGGTTGGCCGATGGCATGGTCGAAGAGGAGGGTCTTGAGGCGGGACTTGAAGGAGGCTAAGGAGGGGGCGAGGCGGAGTGACTGGGGGATGGAATTCCAGAGGTTGGGGGCAGAGTGGCTGAAGACTCTGCCACCAATGGTGGGGCGGGTGGGTTGGGGGACGTGAAACAGGCCGGACCCTGCTGAGCGGAGGGAGCGGGCAAGTTGGTAGGGGGTAGGGAGGTCGCAGAGGTAGGGTGGGGCGAGGCCGTGGAAGGCTTTGTACGTGAGGACCAGTCACTACACTGAACTTGAACTGGATCCTCTGAAGATAGGGAGCCAATGGAGTTAGTCGAGAATGAGGGAGATGGGGTCACGGAGTTTGGTGTGGGAGAGGACACGGGCTGCAGAGTTCTGGATTACCTGCAGCTGTGGAGGGAGGAGTTGCGAAGGCCGACAAGCAGGGAGTTTGCATAGTTGAGACTGGAGGTGATGAAGGCGTGAACAAGAGTTTCAGCGCCTGAGGGGTGAGGTAGTGGTGGAGTCGGGCGATGTTACGAAGGTGAGGGAAGGCAGAGCGGGTCATGGCTTGAATGTGGGGAAGACAGGACAGTTGAGGGTCGAACAGGACACCTCGGTTCCTGACTGGCTGGTGAGTTGTAGTGGGCAACCATGGAGGTTGATGGTGCCAGAGCCTGAGGTGCTGAGGCGCTGCCGTGAGCCAATCAGGAGACCCTCAGTCTTGTTCACATTCAACTGTAGGAAGTTTGCCCTCATCCAGGACTTGATGTGCAACAGTCAGTCTGTCAGGACAGCAGTGGTCCTGGAGTTGAGGGCGGAGGCAGAAAGATAGAGTTGGGTGTCAATTGTATACAAATGGATGTTGACCCCATGTTTGCAGATGATGTCACCAAGGGGGAGGATGTAGATATTAAAGAGGAGAGGGCCAAGGACAGAGCCCTGGGGGACGCCATATGTGACAGTGCAGGAGCTGGAGGAGAAACCCTTAGAGGCAATAACGTGGAGACGGTGAGAGAGATAGGAATTGAACCAGGCAAGGGCAGGTCCATGAAGATTCAGTAAACAGGAGAGGCGGTGTATGAGGATGAAGTGGTCGACAGTGTCGAAGGCGGCAGAGAGGTTGAGGAGGACAAGGAGGCAGAGGGAGCCCTGATGTTCAGAATGTCACTAGTGACTGACCAGGGCTATTTCTGTGCTGTGGGCTTCAAAGGAGAGGTTCAAAGAGGGAATGGCGAGAAAGAAAGGAGTGGAGCTGGGACGCCATGACTCGTTCCAGGACCTTGGAGAGGAATGGGAGGTTAGAGATGGGGCGGTAGCTGGAGAGAAGGGATGGGTCCAGGGAAGGTTTTTTTCAAGATCAGGGTGATGACAGCTGTTTTTAGTGGGAACTGAACCGGTTGACAAGGAGAGGTTGATGACGTCGGTCAGGAGAGGGGCTGGGAGATGAGGAGAGAGGTGGGGATGGGATCGAGGGAGCAGGTGGTGGGTTTGAGTTTGCGGATAGTCGTGGTGAGGAAGGAGGGAGAGATTATTAGAGTCGAAGGAGTATGGGGGGGGTGGGTGGGGGATGGGTCATGAGGGAGAGGTGATGTGGGGGTGGCTGTGGGCGGGGCAGAGGTGGCTGAACGTATCCCCTCGATTTCGGATAAAAACAACAAGATTACATTTTTATAGTGCCTTTTCTGGGAGGGTGTTTTTTAACCACTTCCTTCCCAACCATGACATGGTTCAAGGAGTCCTGTGCTCGTCTGGCAAACGAGAGCACCCGGGTTTAGGCAGGGCGATACCTTAGCCAAACTTCCTTACTCCACATGCCTCTGTTTATCTAGAGGTCAGTAAGAGCCCAGTTGTTGCTCAATTGATGAATCTCTTTCTGGGGGTAATAATCCCTTAAAAAAACAATAATTTAGTCATAATGCACGACTGTTTGTGGGACACTGCTGTGTGCTGCCGTATTTCACCCACAAAATTTACAGTCAATTCACTTTACAGTATATTCTATGAAGTGCTTTAGATGTGATAAGGCGTAAAATTAAATGTAATGATTATTATTAGCAGTAGTAGTACCGGTTCACAGTCGTTTGTTGACGCTGTGTCTGCTTGGTTTCCCAATTGCCCCCTTCTGGCGAAGCTCAGCAGTGTCTAATTCTGTTTGAATGTAATGCAGGGAATAAAAGAGAGACCGATGAGCGGATTGAGTTTTGGAAGTGTTTATTGTTGTTGTTGTTTATTCCCTTCCCAACCATGACTTTGTGTTTCATGAGCAGGTCCCACAGGTAGCGGGAAGACCACGTTTATCAGCGAGTGCACATTGGACCTGTGCATACAGGGAGTGAATACCTTGTGGGGCAGCTTCGAGATCAATAACGTGAGGTTGGCCCGCATCATGCTGACACAGTTTGCCCGGCAGCGACTAGAGGAGCAGCTGGAGGAGTATGACGAGTGGGCGGACAGATTCGAAGACCTACCCCTCTTCTTCATGACCTTTCATGGTCACCAGAACATCAAGTAAATCTCACTCGCTCTTGCATTTTATCTGCAGGATTCTTAAATCACCAGGTCACCTCTTCAAGACTACAACTTCATCCTCCCACCCCCCCCCCCCCCCCCCCCCCATCCCCATGACCTCTGGCCAACCTTCCCACCCATCTCATAGGAACAGGAGTCGGCCATTCAGTCCCTCGAGCCTATTAGCTCATGGCTGATGTGTACCTCAACACACAATACGTGTCTTTGCTCCATTTCCTTTGATACCCTGAACTAATAAATATCTATCCACCTCAGTCTTGCCAATGTGAATGGATCCAGGATCCGCAGCCTTTAAGATTTCACTCTTAAATGATTTAGCTCTAATTTTAAGATTATGCCCCCTTGTTCTGGATTCCCCCACCAGAGGAAATAGTTTCTCTGTAGCTACCTCGCCCTCTCCATCCCCCACCTCCTGCTGGATCTTCCAGCTGACCCCCTGATCTCTCGCTGACTCTCACCTCTCGCCAATTCCTCCCGCTCAACCCCACGATCTCTCTCTCCGAACTCACTGCCTCCCCTCCAGTGAAAGCACCCATTTGGCCCATTTGATCTTACCCCGATTTAATACCCATCCTCCCAGGATTAAATGAATTGTTCCTCACTGGACAACTTTTAGCGTTTAGATTTGTTTCAGATTTAAATGTGAAGTTCCTGATCTCTCTCTCCCTCCCATTTCTCATTCCCCCTCTTTCTGGCTCTTCTCTGTTTACTCTCTTTCCTCTATCTTTTTCCCCCCTCGTCCCTTCTCTCTCCCCTAATCTCCTCTCTTCTTCCCCCCTCTCTTCTCTCCCCTCCACCTCCACCTCTCTCTCTCTCTCTCTGCAGAACTGTGATGGACACAATGCAGCACGCTGTGTACATGTATGATATCAGCCACATTGTTATAGACAACCTGCAGTTTATGATGGGACAGGAGTACCTCTCTGTGGACAAGTAATGGAACCTTTTTATTGACTATCCCCTCGAGTCTGACTGAGACATCTCTCTCTTTCTTCCTTAATCTCTGATTCCATAAAATCACAGAATATTACACCACAGACATGTGTCGATCAGGTGTGAACTACTGTTTCACTCTGCGTGAGACGCATAACCTAATCTCAATCTTTTCCCCCACACTTGCGTTCTTTCACTTGCTCGCGCGCTCTCACTCGCTCTCCTACTCACTCTCTCACTCACTCTGGCTCATTCTTACTTGTTCACTTCCTGGCCACAGGTTTTCTGCCCAGGATTTTATGATTGGGACTTTCAGGAAATTTGCCACAGTTAACAACTGTCACGTGACCCTGGTTATCCACCCCCGCAAGGAGGACGATGAGAAGGAGCTGCAGACGGCTTCCATCTTCGGCACGGCCAAGGTTTGGTCTCACTCAGTAGCGCTCTCGCCTCTCAACTACACGGTTATGGGTCCAAGCTCCTATGTCAGGACTTTGAGCTCACATAATCTAGACTGACACTGTGTTGGGAGGGGGTGGGGGGGAACCCCGTATTGTCGGAGGCACCATCCTTTGGATGAGATGTTAAACCAAGTCTGTACCTGCGGACTTTAAAGATTACCACGTTGCTACTCAAAAAGAGAAGGGAGTTTCTTTCTGCTTGGCCGATAATGCCCCCCTCTCCCCCCCCCCCCCCCCATAAAATTGGGATACGCTTCAAGGCTGATTATGGGATGTTGCTGTGTGAAAATTGGCTGCTGAGTTCGGCTTCAAAATAGACAGTAGCTGCACCTTATATTAAAATCCTGCCCAATGCCAGTAGCTTACACAAGGCATGGGAATTGAGGAGGGTTCTCTAGCATCTATAGCCTGTGTGTGAGTAGAATCACTGAGCATTCAGACAATTTTGACCTAATCAAAGATGGAATAATGAAGGGTAGGTCATATCTGACGAATCTAATTGAGATTTTTGAGGCGGTCACTAACATGGTGGATAAGAGAGTGTCAGTGGATGTTGTCTACATGGACTTCCAGAGGCATTTGATAAAGGTTCCGCACCAGAGGTTATTAGCGCATCGGAGGTAACCTCCAACTAGAGATAGGGGGAACATTCTCTGATTGGCGGGCAGTGATAAGTGGTGTTTCCCAAGGTGCTGTACTGGGACTTCAGCTTTTCACCATATATAAAAAATAGTTGGATGAAGGAATAGAGTTTTATATCCAAATCTGCAGATGTCACAAAGTAAATTGTGTAGATTGGAGCAGAAAGATACAAGGGGACTTAGTGAGTGGGCAGAACTGTGGCAGATGGAATTCAGTGTGGGGAATTATGAGGTTCCTAATATGTGGATCCAAAAAATAGCAAAACAGAATGAGAAACTAAGAACTGTGGAGGAGAGAAGAGATTTCAGTATTCAGGTACACAAATCACTAAAAACAAGCTCACAGGTGCAAAAAGTTATCAAATAAGCTAATGGGATGTTGGCCTTTATCTCAAGGGGGCTGGAAATATTGCTTCAGCAATACAGAGCCTTGTTCAGACCCCATCTAGAGTGCTGCGTTTAGTTTGGGGCACCTCAGGAAGGATATTGCAGTGCAGATTCACCAGAATGATACCAGGGCTTGAAGGGTTAAATTATGAGGACAGGTTATGTAAACTTGGTCTCTATTCCCTTGAGTTCAGAAGGTTGAGGGGTGATCTGATGGAGGGTTTTTAAATGATAATGATAGGGTAGATACAGAGAAGCTATTTCCTCTGGTGGAGGAATTCAGAATGGTGGGGGTGGTGGTGGCATTGTCTTAAAATCAGAGCTAAGCCATTTAGGAGTGAAATTAGGAGGCATTTTTTCACCCAAATGATAGTGGAAATCTGTAACTCTCCCTCAAAAGGTTGTGGATGCTGGATCTATCACATTTTCAAGACTGAGGTGGACAGATATTTCTACGTCAGGGTATTGGGGCAAGTGGAGCAGGTTTCAGGAGGAGAGCATTTGGACAACAGTGATCAAAATATCAATAGGTTTAGAGTGCTTATGGAAGGGGACAAGGAACAATCAAAAATACTCAACTGGAAGAGGACTCATTTCAGTGAGTTAAAAAGGGACATAGCCAAGGTGGACTGGAAAGAAAGATTGGCAGGTAAAACACCTAATGAGCAATGGAAAGCCTTCAAGGAGAGATAGTTCAGGGACAGAACAAATACATTCCCACAAAAGGGAAAGGTAGAGCATTCAGACCTCCCTGGATGGCTAATGAAACTGAGAAACAGAAAAAGGAGGCTTATGATAAACGTCAGGTCCAAAATAAATAAGATAATCAAATAGAATATAGAAAATACAGAGGAGAACTGAAAAAGAAATAAGAGGGGCAAAGAGATTGCATGAGAAAAGATTAGCGGGTAACATAATAGGGAAACCTAAGATATTTTATAAGCATATAAAGAAAAAAAAGGTTAGTAAAAAGTAGGATGTGTCCAATTATGGATCAAAGAGGAAATCTTGTGGAGGCAGAGGGCATGGCTGAGGTACTGAATGAGTACTTTGCATCTGTCCTCACAAGAGACGAAGATGCAGTCAATGCCACAGTATCGGTGGAGAGTGTAGAGAAATTGAATAAGATAAGAATAAACCAAGGAGGTACTAAAAAGGTTAATGGTGCTCAAGGTAGATAAGTCACCTGGGGGATGCATCCTAGATTACTAAGGGAGGTAAGGGTGGAAATAGGGTGCACATAGCAGAGTCTGGCCACAATCTTTCAACCCTCCTTGTACACTAAGGTGGTGCCAGAGGACTAAAAGGTTGCAAATGTTATTCCCCTGTACAAAACGGGATAGAAGGATAAACACCGGAACTATAGGCCATTCGGCATAATGTCAGTAGTGGGGAAACTTCTAGAGACGATAATCCGGGACAAAATAAATTTACACTTAGAAAAATAAGGGTTAATAAAGGATAGCCAACATGCATTTGTTAAAGCCAAATCATGTCTGACAAACAGTAGTTTTTTGATGAAGTAACGGAGAGGGTGGATGAAGTTAGTGCAGTTGATATAGTTTATCTGGATTTTCAAAAGGCGTTTGACAAAGTGCCACTTAAGAGAATTTTAAACAAAATCGAAGCCCACGGTATTAAAGGGACACAGTGGCAGTGGATACAGAACTGTCTGGGAGACAGAGAGCAGAGAGTGGTGGTGAACAGTTGTTTTTCTGACTGGAGGGAAGTTGCAGTGGTGTCCCCCAGGGATCGGTATTGGGACCACTGCTGTTTGTGATCTATATAAATGTCCTGGACTTGGGTACAGGGAGGACAATCTCCAAGTTTGCAGATGATACTAAACTGGGAAAACTAGCAAACAGTGAGGAGGATAGTAGCAGATCTCAAGGGGACATAGACAGACCGGTAACACGGGCAGACACGGGGCAGATGAAGTTTATTGTGGAGAAATACGAAGTGATGCATTTTAGGAGGCTGAATGAGGAGAGGCAATAAAAGCTGATGGTACAATCTTAAAGGGGGTGAAGCCAAAGGCGGAGTACCAAACTCCGCTCCCCGATTACCCCAGTCCTTGCCAGACTGGCTGCCTGTCCCACAGAGGATCAACTTCAAGATCCTCACTCTTGTCTTCAAATCCCTCTACTCCTCTGCATCCCCCCCCCCTCTCTGACTTCCTCTTTCCTCACAACAGTGCCCGTTGCCTTCCCTCCACCGGGTCTGGCCTCCTCCTTGTCCCCCGAATCCACCATTGGCGGCCGTGCCTTCAGCTACTACGCCGCAAAGCTCTGGAATTCCCTTCCTTACTCCCTTTGCCTCGTCCCCTCTCTTCCTATTTTCAGGTCTTGGCTAAATACCTCTCTTTTCAACCACACCTTTGGTCACCTTCTTCCCCTTCCCCCTTTGGCTCCTCCCCCTCCCCTGACTCCTCCCCCTCCCCTGGCTCCTCCCCCTCCCCTGGCTCCTCCCCCTCCCCTGGCTCCTCCCCCTCCCATGGCTCCTCCCCTGGCTCCTCCTCCCCCAGGCCCCTCCCCTGGCTCCTCCCCTTCCCCTGGCTCCTCCCCCTCCCTCTGGCTCCTCCCCCTCCCTCTGGCTCCTCCCCCTGGCTCGGCCCCGGGATTTGTTACTGTGAAGCGCTCTGAGACGCCGTCCGGCATGGAGGGCGCTATATAAATTCCAAGTTATTTTTGTTGTTGAAGGAACAGAGAGACCTGGGGTTCATATAAGTAAATCTTTGAAGGTGGGAGGACAGGTAGATAAAGGTGTTAAAAAAGCATCCGGGATATTAGGCTTTATAAATAGGGGCATAGAATACAACAGTCAGGAAGTTATGATGAACCTTTATATAAAACACTGGTTAGGCCTCAGCGAGAGACTGTGTTCAGTTCTGGGCCCTACACTTTAGGAAGGATGTCAAGGCATTGGAGATTGACCAGGATGGAAGCAGGAATGAGGGACTTCAGTTATCAGGAGAGGCGAGAGACGTTTTCAAAATGATGAGGAGATTCGATAGGGTGAACAAGGAGAAACTATTTCCACTGGCGGGTGTGTCGGTAACCCCAGGACACTGATTTAAAATAGTTGTTAAAAGAAACGCAGAAATTGAGGAGAAACTTTTTCACACAGTTGGGATCTGAAAGTTTGGTGGAAGCCGATTCATTAACAGCTTTTAAAAGAAAAGTAAATAATTATTTGGGGAGAACAAGTTTGCAGGGCTATGGGGAGAGCGCGGGGGACTGGGATTGATTTGGAAGCTCTTTTCAAAGAGCCGGCAGACACCATGGGCCAAATGGTCTCCTTCTATGCTGTATAATTCTATGATTCTATCAAGGGATATGGGACAAGGGCCCATATCACTTGAGGTACAGATCAGTCATCTTATAAAATGACGGAACGGGCTCGAGGGAGTGAATGGCCCTACTCCTGTTTCTACGTTTCTGTAAGGCGTTGCCTGTGAGGAGAGTGGTAGACAACAATTTACATTTATAGTGTTCCTCACGCAGGATAGCGTCCCAGAGCGCTTGAAGGTAGCCAGAGAGGGGAATGCATGCAAGTCTTTGTCAGTTGTTGTGTATCGACTTAGAGACATCTTAACGTGATAAGGTGCTATATCAAATGCAAGGGTTATTATTATTATTATGAGATGTTCTCTGCTGCCCCCGCAGGCCAGCCAGGAGGCTGACAACGTGCTGATTCTCCAGGATAAGAAGCTGGCTTCTGGGCCAGGCAAGAGGTACCTGCAGGTCACCAAGAACCGCTTTGATGGTGACGTGGGAGTCTTCCCCCTGGAGTTTGACAAGAGCTCGCTCACCTTCTCTGCCCCAAAAGTCAAGTCCAAGCTCCGCAAAGTGAAGGACGAGCCTGGAGTGCTGGCTGCGAAGACAGGCAAGGAAAAGAAATGAGATGGAAGACGGTGCTGGGCCCTTTGCCTCATCTGGTCTGGAGTTGTAGCTGGTGTCTCCGAGTGCCATTGGACCCAGCGCCCAGTGATGTATAAATGGTTTCTTGCTACACATGACAAATTAATGTTACATGGAGTATTTAGTATTATTTACTACTGTGATTGAAAAAGTATGTGCTAATTTATCTTTTGCCCATTCTTCCCTCCCACCACCCTACCCCGCTCCCATAGGAACATGGGAATAGGAGTATTCAGCCCCTTGAGCCTGTTCCACTGTTCTATTAGATCATTGCTGATCTGAAGGGTAAAATGCAACTTTTCCTAACTTGTTTTGTGAGCTAATTAGCACACGTTCCGATACATCACATTTTCGAGCAACAACTTGATGTGCCAGTTGGCCAATTAGAAACATCTCGTTTTGGAGTCCTGTAGTATAGAGGTTGGAGCGCTCACCTCATAAGCGAAAGGACCTGCATTTGATTCCCGGGCAGGACAGGGTGAAACTTTAGGCCAGTTTCCTTACTCCACGCACATATCTCTGTTTACCTAGCAGTATGTAGGAACCCGCTTGTTAGTCGATTGGTGAATCATTTTTCCATGGGTAATAATTGTTCCAAAAACAATAAATAAATAATAATAATAATTTGGTCACTCAATCCATGACTGTTTGTGATACACTGCTGTGTGCAATTGGCTGCTGCATTTCGCTCACAAAATACGCAGTCACTCCACTTCGAGACGTCTCAAAGACATGATAAGGCGCTGTATCGAATGCAAGGATTATTATTGTTACCTCAACTCCAAATACCTCTGCCCCATATCCCCTAATGAAATCAAGTATAGGTCCAGAAATCCAGTTTAGTGCTGCCTTACCTGGAACACAGTTTGTTCAGATGAGTTGAGCTCACATGCTAGACTGACACTCCAGTGCAATGCTGGGTGGGTATTGCATGATCAAGGTGCTGAACCTCAGATGAGATGTTTAAACCAAGGTCCCATCATGATCAAGGTGCTGAACCTCAGATGAGATGTTTAAACCAAGGTCCCATCTGTCTGTTCAGGTGGATGATAAAGATCCAGTGACACTATTCGAAGAGAAGGGAGTTTCTCGCACCCAAAGTCCTGACTGTCAGTCCCTCAGCTGAAATTAGGTCATTCACTTCGTGGCTGTTTGTGGGACATTGGTCTTTGCAATTTGGATAACTGATTTGCCCACAAAATATACAGTCAATCCACTTGTATCCTGTGAAGTGCTTTGAGACGTCTCAATGACGTGAAAGGGCCAAATACAAAAATTATTATCATGTAATCCTGCATTTGGAAATCCTTGGTTTTTTTATTGAGAGGAAAAAATAACTGATTGAAATAAAATAGTTTATAAGGGAATCCCATACTGTCTAGGCTGGGACCTGGAACACCTTTCAGGCTGTAAATTATTGTACGTGTAATTATTTTTATGACTGACATTTACAAGAGTAAAGATGTAAAGCCTCCCCACCCCCATCCCAAGTGCCTGATTATTGCCCACGTCCAACACACGTATTCAGTGGCTAGTCTGTTCAGCACCCACTGAGGCATCTGTGCACTGGCTACATAAAGTATTCAGTCAGTATTGGAGGTTGCGGTGGGGGGGAATTGCGAGTTTTATTTTTTTGTAAAAATCATGTTAATCATGAAATGAACGTGCCTGGTTATGCTGTATAAAATGCTGCTGCAATCTATTCAAAGTCTACAGGACATTGTACTTTTGTTATCTGTTTTATAAATAAAGCTCCATCCTGCATAAGGCCTGAAAGTGATTTACACAAAGCTCTCGGGCATGAGTGGAAGCTTCCTTCACTGAGCTCTTCTCGGCATGTGAGCGACGATGTTTATTAAGTGTAAGGAATTTTTCCCGGTATAACCAAGCACTAGACGGAGTCACACTAAGCTTATGTTTTGAAATATTTTAGGCCCACGGGATTAATGGGAAAATATTAACATGGATAGAAGAGTGGATATCGGGTAGAAAGCAGAGAGTAGTGATGAACGGATCATTCTCGAATTGGCAGGAGATGTAACTAGTGGAGTGCCACAAGGATCAGTGCTTGGGCCTCAGCTATTTACCATTTACATCAATGATCTGGACGAGGACATTGAATGTAATGTGTCTAAATTCGCAGATGATACTAAACTCGGCAGCAGAGTGAGCTCTCAGGATGATGCAAAAAGATTGCAACAAGACATAGATAGGCGCGGGGAGTGGGCGAGTAGGTGGCAGATGGAATTCAATGTTAGCAAGTGTGAAATTGTTCACCTCGGTAGCAAGAATAAAAGAACAGATTATTTTCTGGAAGGGGAGAAGTTAGATAGTGTTAGTACTCAAAGGGATTTGGGTGTCCTTGTACTCCAGTCCCAAAAAGTTAGTTTGCAGGTGCAGCAGCAACTAAGAAGGCGAACGGCATGTGAGCGTTCATTTCGAAATGTTTAGAATATAAGAGTAGGGAAGTCTTGCTGCAACTGTATAGGGCTTTGGTGAGACCGCACCTGGAGTATTGTGTGCAGTTTTGGTCTCCTTATTTAAAAAAGGACATACTTGCCCTAGAGGGGGTGCAGCGTAGATTCACTCGGTTAGTTCCTGGGATGAGGGGACTGACCTATGAGGATAGTCTGAATAATCTTGGGCTATATTCTCTGGAGTACAGAAGAATTAGGGGAGATCTTATTAAAACTTATAAGATTCTTAAAGGGCTGATAAAGTAGACACAGGACTGTTTCGCCCAATAGGAGAATCTATAACCAGGGGTCACAGTCTTAAAATTAAGGGTCAGCCTTTTAGAACAGAGTTGAGGAAACATTTCTTCACTCAGAGGGTAGTGAAGTTATGGAATTCACTCTCCCAGAAGGCTGTAGATGCTCAGTCCTTGAACACTTTCAAGGCTGAGACTGATAGATTCTTGAAAAATAGAGGGATTAGGGGATATGGGGATAGGGCAGGTAATCAGAGTTAGGTGAGAAGATCAGCCACGATCTTATTGAATGGCGGAGCAGGCATGAAGGGCTGAATGGCCTACTCCTGCTCCTAATTCTTATGTTCTTATGTTCTTTATTCCCAATTATTGAAATCCCAGCACATGAATGATTATAAACCCGCTTAACATATAAATGACATCATTACGCCCGACCACATTAATCATTCGACACATACACAAGAAACTTCCTTATACTCTCTCCCACTCGATAATCACACTCGTCATTAACTGATCTGACCACTATAACATTTGAACCTATGTTGCCTATGCGATGTATAGGTTTCCATCTAATCAATGGGTTTGTTATCTTGTCCCAAGTAGTTGCATTCTTGCCGGCTGTTATCCTTCACCAGACCCATTCTTTCTTCCCTATCTATCCCAACCAGTCCTCCTGACTGATGGCCTCGACAGCCTTAGACGATCAATTGTCCTCCTGGTGCGTGTGAGTGGCCTACTTGGCTTTTCATACTCATAATGAATTTTGTGCTATCTTGCACACCTTCTCAATGTGTTTCTGGGCTGGTTTGTACAGATTAGGTTAGAACTCAGGTACTCCAATGCTGCTCCTCCCGAACTGCCTCATACTCCCGTAAATCCCGCTAGTACACTAGCCATCTCCGTTCCCTCAAGGCACAAGTGCGAGCTGCCGAATGCGCCTGGACCAAATCCAAACTACAGTCCATCAGCAGATTTGGCTTCACCACACCAAGACCTACCGCTGCGCTCGTGCCCCCGCCAAATCCTCCTTCTACTCCAAGGTTATCTTGAGGCAAAGGACAAGCCCCAGCTTCTCTTTTCCACCACTAACCATCTCCTCCATCCACTTTCCCAAACCTCACCCATCCTCTCCTCAAACTCCAACTGTGAGGAGATGCTGGACTTCCTCAAATCTAAAATCGAGGGGATACGTTCTGCTACCTCAGCCCCGCCCACAGCCACCCCCACATCACCTCTCCCTCATGACCCACCCTCCCCCATCCCCCCCATACTCCTTCGACCCTATCTCTCCCTCCTCCCTCATCACGACTTTCCACAAACTCGAACCCATGATCTGCTCCCTCGATCCCATCCCCACCTCTATCCTCGTCTCCCAGCTCCACCTTCTGGCCCTTCTCCTGTCTGATGCCATCAACCTCTCCCTATCCACCGGTTCAGTTTCCATCCCCCTAAAAACAGCCGTCATCACCCCCATCCTGAAAAAACCTTCCCTGGATCCATCCCTTCTCTCCAGCTATCGCCCCATCTCTAACCTCCCATTCCTCTCCAAGTTGTTGCGTCCCAGCTCCACTCCTTTCTCTCACCCCATTCCCTCTTTGAACCCCTCCAATCCGGCTTCTGCGCTGCCCATAGCATGGAAACAGCCCTGGTCAAAGTGACTAATGACATTCTGAACATCTGTGATCAGGGCTCCCTTTGCCTCCTTGTCCTCCTCAAATTTGTGGAGTCCTGTAGCTCAGTGGTTAGAGCACTCGCTTTGCAAGTGAGAGACCTAAGTTCAATTCCTGGCAGAGGGCGAAACCTTGGGCAAGTTTCCTTACTCCACACAGAGCCTAATAATAATCCCTCCAAAAACCAAAAAAAATAATAAATTAGTCATTTTCAATCCACGACTGTTTGTGGGACATTGCTGTGTGCAATTGGCTGCCGCGTTCGCCCACAAATATACAGTCAATTCACTTTACAGTGTGTTCTGTGAAGCGCTTTGGGACGTCCTCCCGACGGGAAAAGCGCTACATCAAATGCAAGGATTATTATTATTAACGTCTCTGCCGCCTTTGACACTGTCGACCACTTCATCTTCATACACCGCCTCTCTTTACTGAATCTTCACGGACCTGCCCTTGCCTGGTTCGAATCCTCTCTCTCTCACCATCTCCACGTTATTGCCTCTAAGGGTTTCTCCTCCAGCTCCTGCACTGTCACATCTGGCGTCCCCCAGGGCTCTGTCCTTGGCCCTCTCCTCTTTAATATCTACATACTCCCCCTTGGTGACATCATCTGCAAACATGGGGTCAACATCCATTTGTATACAATTGACACCCATCTCTAAGGTAAGGTATCGCCCTGCCTAAACCCGGGTGCTCTCGTTTGCCAGATGAGCACAGGACTCCTTGAACCATGTCATGGTTGGGAAGGAAGTGGTTAAAAAACACCCTCCCAGAAAAGGCACTATAAAAATGTAATCTTGTTGTTTTTATCCGAAATCGAGGGGATACGTTCAGCCACCTCTGCCCCGCCCACAGCCACCCCCACATCACCTCTCCCTCATGACCCATCCCCCACCCACCCCCCCCATACTCCTTCGACTCTAATAATCTCTCCCTCCTTCCTCACCACGACTATCCGCAAACTCAAACCCACCACCTGCTCCCTCGATCCCATCCCCACCTCTCTCCTCATCTCCCAGCCCCTCTCCTGACCGACGTCATCAACCTCTCCTTGTCAACCGGTTCAGTTCCCACTAAAAACAGCTGTCATCACCCTGATCTTGAAAAAAACCTTCCCTGGACCCATCCCTTCTCTCCAGCTACCGCCCCATCTCTAACCTCCCATTCCTCTCCAAGGTCCTGGAACGAGTCATGGCGTCCCAGCTCCACTCCTTTCTTTCTCGCCATTCCCTCTTTGAACCTCTCCTTTGAAGCCCACAGCACAGAAATAGCCCTGGTCAGTCACTAGTGACATTCTGAACATCAGGGCTCCCTCTGCCTCCTTGTCCTCCTCAACCTCTCTGCCGCCTTCGACACTGTCGACCACTTCATCCTCATACACCGCCTCTCCTGTTTACTGAATCTTCACGGACCTGCCCTTGCCTGGTTCAATTTCTATCTCTCTCACCGTCTCCACGTTATTGCCTCTAAGGGTTTCTCCTCCAGCTCCTGCACTGTCACATCTGGCGTCCCCCAGGGCTCTGTCCTTGGCCCTCTCCTCTTTAATATCTACATACTCCCCCTTGGTGACATCATCTGCAAACATGGCGTCAACATCCATATGTATGCAATTGACACCCAACTCTATCTTTCTGCCTCCGCCCTCAACTCCAGGACCACTGCTGTCCTGACAGACTGACTGTTGCACATCAAGTCCTGGATGAGGGCAAACTTCCTACAGTTGAATGTGAACAAGACTGAGGGTCTCCTGATTGGCTCACGGCAGCGCCTCAGCACCTCAGGCTCTGGCACCATCAACCTCCATGGTTGCCCACTACAACTCACCAGCCAGTCAGGAACCGAGGTGTCCTGTTCGACCCTCAACTGTCCTGTCTTCCCCACATTCAAGCCATGACGCGCTCTGCCTTCCCTCACCTTCGTAACATCGCCCGACTCTCCCATAGCCCTGCAAACTTGTTCTCCCCAAATAATTATTTACTTTTCTTTTAAAAGCTGTTAATGAATCGGCTTCCACCAAACTTTCAGATCCCAACTGTGTGAAAAAGTTTCTCCTCAATTTCTGCGTTTCTTTTAACAACTATTTTAAATCAGTGTCCTGGGGTTACCGACACACCCGCCAGTGGAAATAGTTTCTCCTTGTTCACCCTATCGAATCTCCTCATCATTTTGAAAACGTCTCTCGCCTCTCCTGATAACTGAAGTCCCTCATTCCTGCTTCCATCCTGGTCAATCTCCAATGCCTTGACATCCTTCCTAAAGTGTAGGGCCCAGAACTGAACACAGTCTCTCGCTGAGGCCTAACCAGTGTTTTATATAAAGGTTCATCATAACTTCCTGACTGTTGTATTCTATGCCCCTATTTATAAAGCCTAATATCCCGGATGCTT